TTGACAAAATTTTGGTATCAGAATAGCAGAAGAGCGAGGAGATATTTAAGTTCCTTAATCAAATTACTATAAAATTCAGGGTAACGGAAAATTAAGTTTCTTCATCAAATTGTCATTGCTATTCAGGGTAACGCAAAATCGACGGATATATAAACCTGAATATCTCCTAAACGGCTTAGGATAGAGACGCACTACAAAGAGCACTCTATTATATTCGTTCGGCTCTACGTTTTGAGCATGTTTAGAGAATGATTCGATTATTAATAACTGAGGAAAATTAAAAAAAAATAAAACCCTTGTAAATAAGAAGCAACTGAATCCACTCCTTAATTTACATTGTTCTCTTTGATATGTAGCCAAATTTTCATTGAAATCGGAGACAAAAAATTTGTTCTCAAAAAATTTGGAAGGCTATACCCTTTCCTTTTTTTTGGGAAGATAAAAGTTTAAAAAAATTTACGTATGTATAGAATGGAACGTCAGGATCTCAAAATGGTACTCTGTTCCCCTCTAACAAGACTAATTAAAAAGTTGGAACTTATTTCTTAAAAAGTATCCAACATAGAGAGACGCAGACACCAGCAAGACATTTTAAATCGTTTACTGTAACGTAGTGCCGAATTTCATGAAGATCGGAGCAGAAATAACATTTTTCCATACTTACTCGGTTTCCGTTTCAAACTACTAAAAGTTGCGATTTCGTTGACAAAATTTTGGTATCAGAATAGCAGAAGAGCGAGGAGATATTTAAGTTCCTTAATCAAATTACTATAAAATTCAGGGTAACGGAAAATTAAGTTTCTTCATCAAATTGTCATTGCTATTCAGGGTAACGCAAAATCGACGGATATATAAACCTGAATATCTCCTAAACGGCTTAGGATAGAGACGCACTACAAAGAGCACTCTATTATATTCGTTCGGCTCTACGTTTTGAGCATGTTTAGAGAATGATTCGATTATTAATAACTGAGGAAAATTAAAAAAAAATAAAACCCTTGTAAATAAGAAGCAACTGAATCCACTCCTTAATTTACATTGTTCTCTTTGATATGTAGCCAAATTTTCATTGAAATCGGAGACAAAAAATTTGTTCTCAAAAAATTTGGAAGGCTATACCCTTTCCTTTTTTTTGGGAAGATAAAAGTTTAAAAAAATTTACGTATGTATAGAATGGAACGTCAGGATCTCAAAATGGTACTCTGTTCCCCTCTAACAAGACTAATTAAAAAGTTGGAACTTATTTCTTAAAAAGTATCCAACATAGAGAGACGCAGACACCAGCAAGACATTTTAAATCGTTTACTGTAACGTAGTGCCGAATTTCATGAAGATCGGAGCAGAAATAACATTTTTCCATACTTACTCGGTTTCCGTTTCAAACTACTAAAAGTTGCGATTTCGTTGACAAAATTTTGGTATCAGAATAGCAGAAGAGCGAGGAGATATTTAAGTTCCTTAATCAAATTACTATAAAATTCAGGGTAACGGAAAATTAAGTTTCTTCATCAAATTGTCATTGCTATTCAGGGTAACGCAAAATCGACGGATATATAAACCTGAATATCTCCTAAACGGCTTAGGATAGAGACGCACTACAAAGAGCACTCTATTATATTCGTTCGGCTCTACGTTTTGAGCATGTTTAGAGAATGATTCGATTATTAATAACTGAGGAAAATTAAAAAAAAATAAAACCCTTGTAAATAAGAAGCAACTGAATCCACTCCTTAATTTACATTGTTCTCTTTGATATGTAGCCAAATTTTCATTGAAATCGGAGACAAAAAATTTTATCAAAAAATTTGGAAGGCTATACCCTTTCCTTTTTTTTGGGAAGATAAAAGTTTAAAAAAATTTACGTATGTATAGAATGGAACGTCAGGATCTCAAAATGGTACTCTGTTCCCCTCTAACAAGACTAATTAAAAAGTTGGAACTTATTTCTTAAAAAGTATCGAACATAGAGAGACGCAGACACCAGCAAGACATTTTAAATCGTTTACTGTAACGTAGTGCCGAATTTCATGAAGATCGGAGCAGAAATAACATTTTTCCATACTTACTCGGTTTCCGTTTCAAACTACTAAAAGTTGCAATTTCGTAATTTTTTGGTATCAGGATAGCAGAAGAGCGAGGAGATATTTAAGTTCCTTAATCAAATTACTATAAAATTCAGGGTAACGCAAAATTAAGTTTCTTCATCAAATTGTCATTGCTATTCAGGGTAACGCAAAATCGACGGATATATAAACTTGAATATCTCCCAAACGGCTTAAGATAGAGACGCACTACAAAGAGCACTTTATTATATTCGTTCGGCTCTACGTTTTGAGCATGTTTAGAGAATGATTCGATTATTAATAACTGGAGAAAATGAAAAAAAAATAAAACCCTTGTCAATAAGTAGCAACTGAATCCACTCCTTAATTTGCATTGTTCTCTTTGATATGTAGCCAAATTTTTATTGGAATCAGAGACAAAAAAATTTTTTCTCAAAAAATTTGGATGGCCATCCTAAGTTAGATAAAAAATCTGATGTGTCCAATACATGACTTTCCTATCTAGTTATTACAGGCTTTTTCCGGTTATTTTGTACAACCTATTGCAGCACCTCCATAAATGTTTAGAGGATAAAATAAATATATACATTTTCCACATACATCTACCTCGAAACATTTTTCTATAGATATTCATTGAAAATGAAAATACTGAAAAATTTAAATTTAGCACTTTTCTTACAATTTTTCCATTACGGTCCATTTTAGAAAAATAATGTATAAACAAAAATTATAGAGATCGATATCGCAAACAACTTTTATTTCAACAATTTTCATAAAAATCGGAATTTTGCACATTTTGTCAAATTTCTCGAATACGGACCATTTCAGGAAATTTTGACATAAGACAAAAATTATAGAAAATTATGTTAGAAATAACTTTTATTTGAACAATTTTTTTCTCCAAACATAAAATATAAAAACGGCCCCCCATAAAGTACCCCCCCAGATGTTCTGACTTTGTCCAAAATCTAATTATTTCACGTCAGGCCGAAATAAAACTTTAGTTTAAAATTTAATGTTTTTTTCTTTATCCGTTTTTGAGTTTTCTTCAAATTTCGAAATTTACACATTTTCTCAAATATCTCGAATACGGTCCATTTTAGAGAAATTATGTAAATAATAAAAATTATAGAGAATTCTATTACAAACAACTTTTGTTTGAACAATTTTTATAAAAAAAATATTTTTTTACATTTTGTCAAATTTCTCGAATACGGACCATTTTAGGAAAATTTTGTAAAGAACAAAAATTTTAGATAATAATATAAGAAGTAACTTTTATTTGAAGAATTTTCTTTCCCAAACGTAAATAACAGATATACATAAAATATAAAAATGACCACCCATAAAGTACACCCCCCCCCCAGATGTTCCGACACTGCCCAAAATCTAATCAGCACATTGGACGCTGGAACAAAGCTAAGTTTAAAATTTGGTGTTTTTCTGTGTATCGGTTCATGAGTTATGCGACACACAGACACACACACACACACAGACATCATCGCGAAAATAGTCAAAACGGATTCAGGGGACCTCAAAACGTAAAAATCCATCGAAAACTCGAGGTCGAAAAAAATCATGATTCCTATACTTTCCTTATATCTGTATACAGATAGGAAAGTAAAAAGTACTGAAGCCAGTATGGACTTAAAGCATACAACTCTGGGGGTGTGCCAGTAAAACTAACATAAATATAATACAACGTTACAAGAACAAAATATTAAGGGCAATAGTAAACGCCCTTTGGTATGTTAGGAACTCAGACATCTGAGAATGCCTACAGTCGAAGAAGAGAGGAAAACCATCGCAAAAAAACATGAAAAAAGACTGCATGATCACGTCAATATTGAAGTTCCACAGTTCCTGGACAACCGATACCTATTGATACCATTTGAATTAGTGATGTGAAAGTGTGTTAAAGCAGAGCACAGTGCGCGTGTGCAATGTATATAGTTATAAGAACAGATTTTTAGATTAAAATTGTAGGTTAGTCAGTAATGACTAGTAACAATACTCTTAACAAAAAAAACATGGGTCCGAATGAACGTGGATTCACTTTCCCCGAGAATCCAGCATTTATGTGTTGTGTGAAGTCGAAAATAGAAGCCCAGGTCAAGCATTTTTCAAAATCCAAAAATATTTTTGTATGTTAGCAAAAAAATTTGAAATTTTGGCTTTGCATGTAGAATTGTAACTTTGTAACCCTCCATATTAGCAAGGGCAGGGGAAATTTTGTTATGCGATTTTCATATTTTTGGGATAATACATCTATATACCAAGTTTAGTCTCAATATCTCGACCTGAAATGCCCTAACCCCAAGAGCCCCCCCAAGCCTCGTGTTCTGTGTAGGCTTTGTTCCTGTTTCCCAGCGCCACTATTATTATTATAATGCTTTGCCTAAAGAACTGAAGTAACAAATTACGTACAAATAAATCTTTTAAAAATCAAGTTAAAATATTTCTACAAAAAAGCTGTGACACAGGTCTGCCAAAGTCCAATATTATTATTATTATTAAATTTTACATTATATCTTGTGTATATATTGTACGACTTGCCTTATGTGCCTTTTTATTAAATGAAGTTTAATAAATTTTATTCTATTCTATTATTAGCAGTACTCATGTTTTATAAAAAAATTGGTATGATCTCTTCTTATCTTATCACCAATGTTATTAGACAACTTTCTTCACCATTTTTTTAACTTTGATTAAAATAGAATAAATACTAATTTACTGCAACTATGCACTTAATTTATTTCAATTACTTGGATACAGAGAGTACTTTTTACTCTTTCTATTGGTATGAATTTTAACTTTATCTTTTACGGACTTTTTCACCGTTTTTTGCGTTTTAAGTGGAGTAACTAAAACACTCGATCACGTTTACTATGATTATTAACATTGACTAAAACTAGAATTATTAATATACTTTATTATTTTTCACTTTAAAAAATACATACAGTAAATTGGATGATAAACAGAAAAGAGTTTACTTAAAATTATACTTATATGTACCTTCCTATTGTAACTCGAAATATCCTATTGCCCAAATTAATGTCAAAACCTATTGCGATATTTTATAGGGCTCATTTTATAAATTTTAGACCACATTTAGTATAATTTTGATGGTAATTACATATTAAATTAAGGCTTATTAGTAACGTCCACTTCTTCCAGAACGATGTTTAGGAGATCTAGATCCTTTTCTTTCTCTAGAGCGGGATCGTCCCCTCTTTGGTGGAGAACGAGATCTAGAATGTGGTCTGCCTCCTCCAATACTCTTTCCCTTCCTTCTTGAATACAAATATCTAGAAATAAATTATAAAAAATCATTTTTATTAAACTTATCTGTAAAATTAATAAACCATGATTCAAAATAGAATTATAAATATACCTCCTCAGTTCTCTAGAAATTGGTTTCAAGTGCATGAAATTGCAGAATCCTGACCGGGTGCATTCACCCATCTCATACTGACGGCAACAAGCTTCTCTAAAGTCAGTCACAGGACTCAGTTCAGCATATACAGGTCTTCCACCAAACCAACGATTATTTAAGTCATTGACAGCCCTTTCAGCATCTTCTTCACGTCGAAACTTAAAAACAAAATAAAAATAACTCAAAGCCAGTGTTACATAATAATGGGCGACTGTTTCCATCAGGAAAACAACTACTTTAGTTGATACCACAACAGTACAAAAGTAAACAGCATGGATAGAACATAATTTTCAAAACTAGTTGATTTTGCTTATCAAGGAGAACGTCATTCTTGGACCGGTTGCGTCCTTATTTGGACTCGTCAGTAAGAAGCAAACATCTCGATTTCAGTATCTAATGAAAATTGCAAAGGCATCAAATTTAATCAACTACAATGAAGGAATGTTACGAATAAGTAACATCATAATTATTGTTGTATACAAATGGTGAAAATGATGAACCTTGGGGGACTCCTTGGGAAACAGGCAATAGTTCTGATGACACATTTATTTTAATTTTGCTTTTTCTTCTTTCTAAAATTTTTAAGAAGCCACATGAGGTAAGGTGTGTAATTGACACTATAAAATTCAAACTCTCCTAATAAGGCCATGGTTAAGATTTGTAAATAATTATCTGCCACGAGGAAAGTAATGTTTCTGGCAACACGGTAAATTCAAGGGTCATAGTTTTAGTTAAGTGGTGCCTCTTGTGTCAAGCACGTGAATTTCGTTTTTTCTAAAGAATTGTTTATTTATTCATAATACAATACTCTACAGGTCATAAACCCAATAACACAGCAGGAATTGTCAGAACATAATTATTAAAAAATCACAGATTTTTATATGAATGTTAAGAACATAAAAAGAGCTTGTAATAGGTAACAAATTAACTAAGATAAAAAGTGGGATTTTATATCTGACAAATTGCAACTAAATATATCAAGTTCATTGACAATAGAATTTGTCACTGTACACATGGTATGGCGCGGAGAATTTTCCAGAACATTTGTGCAAGACATATTTATATAAAAAGTATTCGGATGTCTGGAAGAAATTCTGGGAATGCAAATATTAAACTTTCTTAATAAGGTTGGACAGTCAATAATACTTTTAATAATTTTATAAGTTACTACTATACTATAATAACCACACCTTCTTTCGATACTGAAAAAGTTATGCTTTTGTAGTAATTCAGAGTGAGGTGTACCCACTGATCTGTAATATTTTACTGGATAGGATATAGCCCCCTAAAAAACGTTCCGAAAAATTGGCCGATTTGGGCAAATAATATGGCAAACTGGATGTTATTTAACGTAACCTCTAAAACACAGTAAAAAGAGTATGAAATAACCAATAAACGTTCATTCCTGAAGACACAATATGCTTCACGTTTCCATTTTTTCTATTTTGTTTCATAAAAAATCAAATCATGGGTGAAATTTCCCGAAGGACATCGCCCGCAAAAGGAATAGAAGAAGAATAAGAAGAAATAGAAATACTAATCAAATTATAGGTTAGGTATGTCAAATTATCCCAAATTTCAGTTCTGTGAACCCACCATAATTTGCCCAAATCGGCCAGTATTGTTGCACTTCCGGTCTCCTTGGTGGAACGATTTTTTAGTATGTTAAATATAGTCTATATCCTATCCAGTAAAATAATACAGATCAGTGGGTGTACCTATTAGAGAACAAATGTCATCAGTTTTCAGGCTTAGCAGTTTTAAAAATCGTCTTTGAATTGCTTCTATTCCATCTATATGATCTGATAAAAGGGGCTCCACACAACTGAAGCATATTCTAACATTGATCTTATAGAAGCATAAAATAGTTTTTAAGGTAAAGGTTTCTTTAAAATCACTACTGCTACATGCAATTAATCCGTACATGCGATAGGAGGAGGATACAACATTATCAATGTGCTCATTAAATGATAGTGCAGTGTCAAACGTGATGCCAAGATCAGTAAATGTTTTCGGTCGCAACGTTTTCTATTGAATAATTAAAGATTAGGATATTCGATTTAAACTGTAGGACATAATTTTACATTTATCCAGGTTTAGTGACAAGTTATTTTGATAACACCATTCAACAACCTGTGTTAAGTTTGCTGAGAGGTTCTCGCAATCACCTATCTTCTCCACGAGGCAGTATAGTTTTAGATCATCAGCATACAAAAGGAAATTTACATTTATAACATCTGCAATATCATTAATGAACATAATAAAAAGGAGGGGTCCCAGATTCGACCCTTGTGGATCACCGGAAGAAGCACTATATTCAACAGACCTAAAACCATTGAGCTGGACATATTGTTTTCGATCCCATAGATAGGATTGAAACAGTTAAATTAAAGAGGGAGATAATCCAACAGCTACAAATTTGTTGAGCAGAATGCCATGATCAAGACTGCCAAAGGCCTTAGAAAAGTCTGTGTAAATAACATCAGTTTGGGCTCTGTTGTCAATAGATTCAGCAATATACTGGGTAACGGTCAGAAGGTTCGTGACTGTTGAACAACTTTTCACAAAACCATGTTGATTTATAATTATATTACAACTTACATGATGACATATAACTCGCTCTAGCAGGTTTTCAAAAACCTTTGCAAAGTAAGGTAAGTACATTATTAAATATGTTGTTGCTTTTTAAATAGTTAAGATATGTGAATAAAATTTTGTGTAAGGTATCTTTGCATTCTAAAACAAATGATTTTGTTAAAATTTCATTACTTATTTAGATTCAAAACTATATTTTAGGAGTGTCAACTGTGTACGCCTTTGCATATTATTATTCAGTGATCGACACTTTTTGCCTATTACTGGGATATTATGGGGCACCAGGGTTTGACTTCTTAATGCTCTGCCATTGTAGTGTCAATAACTATGGCAATTATAACTAGTAAAACTGTCAATAACCAGGATAACAATAACTAGTGAAACTGTCGATCACGGCTGGTGATAACCAATGAAAGGGCATTTATTACTGGTGTACCCAAAATTACATTAAAATGCCACAAGATGTTCTACTATTGTCAATTACTGGTGCTCTTATAACTTATTGCTAATGAGATTATTAATCTACTCTCTGTCATAAAACTAAGGTGATAAATTAAGAAAAAAATTCAACAATTCAGTACTTACATAACATCAATGTTCTATGGATATACTAAGAACGTTCTGTTTATGTTCTTTTTAGTATGTCCTTTCTAGTATATAATTTGCAAGTATATTCTAAAAAATATACACTGAGTATATGCCTTAGAAATATATACCAAAAAGTATATACTGAGCACGTGCTATAACAGGACATTCTTAGAATATACTAAACGCCATATACCCAGCATGTACCTCATATTCTGAGAATGTTCTAAATGCTTGCAGGTAAAAATTAACACCAAATACATGTAAAAACACGTTTATATACATATCTATATGAATTTTTCCCAGATGCCGATCTGATAATTCGCTAGCAAACGCACTAATGTTGGGTGTTCAGGCCAAAAAACATTCGCAACCTTAATAGTATATGTATCTGTTAAAATGGAATGTGTAACATGCAAGACAAAAACTGGTGATCCTCTTTTGATGTGCAACAATTGTCAAAGGTCAACACACAGAGTGTACAGGATTAAATGCAAGTGAGTTGAAAGTAATGGACTTAAAAGGGAAACGATTGCTAAAGTTCTACTGTGAGGACTGTCAGTCTGGAATAAAATTAATACCAAAACTACTAGTAAAAATTGATAAATTGGAGTCAGAAATTAATGCCTTAAAAAATATCCAAAATGTTAATATTACTCCTAAATATAAAGATAATGAGTTGATTAGTGAAATGATGGATAGGCAAAAAAGAGCCTCAAATATTATTGTATACAATATTAATGAATCTAAAATGACGTCTAATCAAAAACGCAATGTTGAAGATTGTACTATCATTCAAGAAATCTTACAGGATTGTAATATAGATAAAAGTAAAATTAAATCTCTTAGATTGGGAAAGTTCCTTCCGTCAAAAATAATACCCATTAAAGTTATTTTACCTTCGCCAGAAAATGTTAAACTGATTTTAAAAAACAAAAATGTAGGTCAAGGAACTAGTGTGAAAATTTATTCTGACCAGTCAAATGCCCAGCGAGAATACTTAAAAGATTAAAATTGAATTATAAACTCTCATTGAGAATGGTGAAACTAATAAAACTATCAAATATATAAATGACAAGCCAACTATTGTTGACAATAATAATTAAAATAAAAAAAACTAATTGAGAAACCTAATATACCATTAAATTCTGATATTATTTATGTCAATGCTCAAAGTTTAAATAGTAGTTTTGATCAACTATCTGACAGCCTAATTTGCTTTAAATATTGTTACTAAGCAAAACTAGAACAACAGATATTGAAAATAATGAAATAAATATAGAAAATTACAAATTTAATAGTCCCAAAGTCGACATACAGGAGGAATTGTAATGTATGTAAAAAAATGTTATAGTTGCTCAATTGTTAAATCATATGTTCTGGAAAAAAATTATTGGTGCACGTTAGTAAAAATAAATTTTTCATCAGCGGTCTGGATTGTGGGATGTCTTTACCATTCTCCATCAAGTTCGGATGCAAAATTTCTAGAAGATTTTGAAGCCATTTGCGACAATATTGTTTCTAAAGTGCATAGATTTGTATTAGTGGGCGATTTTAATTTAAATTTGCTTGGTGATAGTTTTTATGTTAACAAAATTAAGAATCTTTTCTCAAACCATGGTATCCAACAAAAAGTTACTAAACCTACGCGAGTTACTATTGATAGTAAGTCTCTAGTCGATTTTGTATTAATTAATGATGATAATTGTGATGCTGAAGTCCATGATACTCCGAAAATCAGTGATCATTCTGTGATTTCTGTAATTTTTTCCAATACAAGCAATACTTCAAACAAAGTTATAAAAAAGTATAGGAATTATAATGAAACATTTTTAATATACAAAATGATCTGATTATGTGCAACTGGAATCTTAATACTATTAAAGTTGAAGTAATTTATGTTATATTCAAATTGTGAAAGAGTTATTAATAAGGTTGCCCCTATTCAGACATATAAGTATAACCCTAATGTACCATGGTTTGATAATGAGGTTTACAACAAAATTAAAATCTGAGATAATGTTTAAGTTTTTCAAGTCATGTGCAGAACATCAAAAGCTGAATAGGGGGCGTCCATTAATTACGTGAGGTGTTCAAGGGGGGGGGGATAAAACTAAATCTTTCTAAATCTCACTTGGGGGGGAGGGGGGGGGGGGTTTTCGTAAATCTCACGTAATTTTTTTTCTAGTAGAAAACGGTGTAAAATTGCGTGAAAGTAAAGTTAAATTATAGTAAAAGTATTTCTAGAATAAAATATGGAAAAATCTTATAATTATGTTTATTTATTTTTATTAATTTCCATTTAAGTATTTATCATTTAATTTTATTAATGTGATTTTAAATAATTGCAACACTCTCAAACACTAGTCTTTGCTAGTCTTATATAAAAGTAATGGAACATATTGTGTTTTTGTTTTTTTTTTTAATAATCCAACACATTTACACCCAAAACACGAATTTTGAAAAATCTCACGCGAGATTAGGGAAGGGGGGGAGGGAGTTAAGGAAAATCTTACCAAATCTCACCAGGGGGGGAGGGGGAGTCAAAAAATCCTCAAAAATACCTCACGTAATTAATGGACGCCCCCATATGTGGAATAAATTTAAAAATGTAGAAATGAGGTAGTTAATGTGCTGAAATCAAAAAAATCTACTTATTATTTTAATAAAATTGATTGTTTCAAAGAAAATCCTAAAGAGATGTGGAAAACTTTAAAAAAACTAGTAAATATTAAATTAAATGATGATCAAACAGGCTATATTATCCTTTATGATAATGTTGACATAGCAACTAAATTTAACGAATATTTTGTTGAAAGTATTATGGATATTATAGGAAGTATTGATGCAACTGTTTCCTGGCATAATCTAAACAATAGATTATATTTACCATTTCACAACTTTAATTTACTAACTTTACATGACATATAAAAGTTCTAAAGGAAGTGTATGCAACAATTGGGCCCATTATTTTAAACTTAATTAATACCTCACTTGATACTGGTAAAGTTCCATCTCAACTAAAAATTAGTACTATTGTTCCAATTCAAAAAGTTAATAATACAATAAAATCGGAAGAATATACTCTCCCGTCAATTGAAAAGGTTTTAGAGCTGGGTGTGTATGAACAACTACTTGAACATGTTAATAATTCTATTTTAATAACTAACCAGTCTGGGTTCAGAAAAAAGTATTCCTGTGAGTCTGCATTACAGTTAATGGTGAATAATAAATTTAAAAATGATGTGGATGAGAATATGTAGTAGCTGTTTTTTTAGACCTGAAACGTGCATTTGAGACCATTGATAGGGGTATTTTACTTAAGTAAATTCAAGAATATGGTGTAGGTGGAAAATAATTCCAGTGGCTGAATGATTATCTGCAAGGTCGTAGACAAAAAGTACAATTTAACAATCAGATATCACCCGAGATTAACATTGACACAGAGGTTCCGCAAGGAAGTGTCCTAGGGCCGTTGCTTTTTATACTATATTTTAATGATATTGGACTGTTTGTTGATTGTAATTCATTAATCTCTTTGCTGATGACACTCTGCTAGCAAGCTCTGATATAAATTTAATGAGTGCAATTGAGAAAATGAATAAAATACTGGAAAAAGTTGCCCAGTATTTTCAACTTAACAAACTGAAATTGAATGTAACTAAAAAAAGTACTTATTTTTACAACTAAACATAAATATATCTTACTTGATCAATGATGTTAATTTACAAATAAATGGTGAAAAAATCGCCATAGTCCCAACTATTAAGTGTTTAGGTATTTACTTATTTTTAATGATTACTTTTATTACAATAATAAAAAAAAAATTGAAAAAATATTTCTTCTCGAGAATTTCAAATAACTTGTCAACTTCAACTAAAATAACAGTATATAATACAATTATTCAGCCTCACTTCGATTATTGTGCCTCCATTCTTCATTTATTTAATCTCAACAAGTTAAATCAAGCTCAAAAACTACAAAATCATCTTACACCAATTGCCACAATGTTAAATTCTCTTCAGCAAAGGTTGTACTACTTGACAATTATGTTATTATTTATAAAATAATTCATTATTTGGCTCCATCCTACTTTCATCAATTTATTTGTTATCATGGGGATCATGATTACAGCACAAGATTAACTAACGATATATACATTAAAAAAGTTAATTATTCGAAATCACAGGCATCATTATTGTATAAAGGTTTCCAAGAATATAATGAACTGCCCAGGGGCTTGAAGGATTGTAACTCATTAGCAAGTTTTAAAAAACAATTGACAACTTTTATTAAAATTGATAAAATTTGATTTTAACTTTTATATATTTGATTATTACTTTTTTATTATTTGGGTTCATGCTTTCAACTGTTATTTGTTTTATTGTCAATTAAGGCTGTCTAAACTCAAGATTAAAAGTATATTTGTAATGTGTAACAAATTTATTTTTCTTAACTCAGATTATGTTAATAATAATTATCTTTAAGTTTTAAGTGTAATGCATTTGTATTTCTATTTTTTTTTTGTATATTAGGTTTATCCTACTTCAATAAATATCTCTATATTAATAAAAATAGAAGAGAAAAAGAATAACATAACTTACAATTCCAACAATTTTTTTTGATCTCATTTCAGTTTGTAGTAGGTAAATAAATTAATAAAAATTAATTGCAACGTGTGTTCTATATAAAAATAAACAAATTTTACTATATTTGTAGTTTTTAGGACCTATAAGTGATTTTAGAACCTATGATATCCCAAATATTAATTGCCAGTGTGAATTTATTAATATGGTTAATACTAAAGGCGGATTTAAACTAAAATACAGTGTTACCAGAATTACATACACACTTTCTATAAACAAATCCTGTAAGGCCAGAAATTGACCTGGAAGAACTAGAAAATTAGCTAAAGGAGGATGAAAACTACAAAATGGTGGTAATTAACAAAAATATATTTAAACTTTCACTAAACATAATAATCATTTATGTAACTCTTGTTTTTGTTAGTGGAATGCCATGTAAAATTGTTAATGTATTACATTCGACAAAAATATTTAAAATATTCTATAAGCTATGTACACCTAATTTGTAAGTTTGTTGATTTTTTTTATTTTTTAGGTTCAATAAAGATCCAATGGAATCAAGCAAATGAAACTCAAGCCATTGATACAATAAAATATTGGTTGGTTAAGGCCAAAGAAAGAATTTGTAATAAAAATAAGAATAAGTATGAATTTTTTGAAATAAAAAAATGGTCACGTCTTTCATTATATAAACTTATGCTTTAATGTTCAATATTAATGAAACATACTGTATTAGGGTGTCTAGAATATGTCTAGCATATGCTATATTTAAATGCTTAGCATATACTTATAACCTATTATCAAATTTAGGTTGATACTTATTGCATACTGGACACATACTTGAAGTACATTCTCAGTATCTATATATGCTTAGTAATTCTAATGTACTAAATGCAAATAAAGTATATTCTCAGCATAATATGTGTATTCTTAAAAAGTATATACTAAGAATGTATAATTGTTATCTGGGTAGAGTAAGGACTATAGGAATAAGTCAACAATAATTATTTGTCCTGTAGTTTCTTCTTTTAATTCATCTCTATAATCATGTAGTTGTTGCTTGGATGAAACATAAATTACTAATTAAAAGTGCTGGTCAAATTTCACAGACATCAATTGTTTAGATTTCTTATATTGGAAATAGTACTAATGATAAATTTGTTATCAGTAGTAATTGGTGATACTGATTGTGCCCCATCATGTCCTGATATATGGTAACACAAACTTGTTTAGTTCTGATCAGATACAAACTGGTCTTTAATAAGCTCATGAAAGTAGTTGGTAGGTACGATTTTGGGTACCTAATTTTGTAGTTGACAGGTCTAGAAATGGACATATTAACACCACTCTGCACTGATGTCTAGAATTTGACACAAATTTGAATTTTGTAATTATCACTATTAAAAAGTATTATTGACATTAAAAATAACGATCATATTACTTGAAAATCTTTAGGATTTTTTTTAGTTTTATGGGATTTTTAATAGATTTAAAAATTGGTAAATAGATGATTAAAAATAAAATATAACCTGGCAACTATAGGTAATGATTCCAACTGTCAGAAGTAGCCAGAACAGCAATGGTGCAGACAGGCACATTTCCATACAATTCAACTACAAGATTACCAGATTTTGGTTCACAGATGCCAAGCTTTTGTTTTGAAAGTGTTAGTAATGATTAAGTAAAACTAGTTACAATAAACATGTATGCTTTTTGTTTTCCTAATATTTATAAAAAATAGTTTAACTCTTTCATTTACCTTTATATAAACATTTCCTACAAGATGGTCTCCCAAATTATCACAAACATTCATTTCTTCAATTTCTCCATACTTATCTTCACATTCTACAAAAACGTCTTCAAAAAAGTTATCATAATGTTCTTGCATTTCTTCGTCAGAAACATTAGCAACCACTGGAAATTAAAAAAAAAAAAATACTTCAGCCTTTGTACATTACTATGATGAAAGTAAAATAAACTTAACAAGAATATTTTTTTGATAATTAAGTAAGTATACTCACAGTGACTTCCATCAGCAGACTTTGCTGAATTTTGAGGATTGACATACAAATTTTGTAATAGGCATGTTTGAGAAAATGTTGGTTTGTTATGGATTCGAGAACACCTGTCTCCGTGTCTACATGCTCCTATTTTAAAATAGAACGAGCAGTTTACTCTAAAATAAAAATTAATGAAGTGGCTGTGTTTAATAGAACGTTTGTACTTACTTATCCTTTTCGGTACCGAAAATTGAAGCTAAATACTCAGCCATGACCTTAACGAAAGTGGAAAAATATAGTTTATTTTACCGTATAGTTATTTAAATCCTGAAAAAGTATTTTATCAGGAAAATAAAAGCCAAAGCTTTCTAAAAAGGTAAAAATGCAAACATTAATCACAACGTGAACTCAAACTGAACACAACACAAAACACAATCAACAAAAATCAATAGATTGTCACTTGTCAATCTTGTCATCCGTCACGCGTCACTTTCCAACAATCGGACATCCTTGAAATCGATTTTTTTTGCGTTTCGATTGTTGTGTCCTACAGAGTGGTAAATGGCATAGTATATATACAGTGTGCCCCAAAAAGTTTTATACAAATAGAAAAAGTTACCTTACATTTCACAAAAAAAAATTATTTTGATAAAAAGTTTTGCATCACTTAGTGCCATTCGCACCGCTAGTAGTTAAGAAATAAGCCAAGCTTAAAATGACATTTTTCCATTGACAATGTCATTTTAAGCTTCGCTTATTTCTTAACTACTAGCGGTGCGAATGGCCCTTAGAAATCCATAATCAAGCATGACATTTAAAAAATTAAAAAAATTCAAATACACTTTTTTGGATTATTTATTGAATAAAATAAATGAAAAATACTCTTAAAAAAATTAACGGTTTAAAGTTTTTTATCTCTGGCAAATGGTTCTAATTGCCAAAACCTCAAGGAAAAAAAGCCAATTTTACTTTTCATTATAAATCATAACTTTCGTTTCCCCTGCATACCACCTATATATTTGACAAAATTTAATGCTTGGTTATGGATTCCCAAGTGATGCAGAACTTTTATGAAGAATAACTTTTTTGAGAAATATAAGATATTAGTATACCGAACGGGAAAGTACTCTATTACAGCCTTCGAGCATATATATTTTATAGAGTCCGCATTTAACAGTGTTTGTTTGAATTAAGAGGAGAAATATGACTCGCGTATCGGGGACAACACTAATGATTTATAGTGCGCATGTTGTACGCGTTTTATTTGTACATTGGTCTCCTTTTGACAGAGTAGGTGAGCTGTGTCCAGGAAGTCCGTTAGCTGAGAATTTCTTTCAATTATATTATCAATAATTGTACAATTAGAAAACTTAGAAGATAAGAATCCTTAAAGATTCAGACTTGCAGAGGCAGAATCCAGTTTTTGATTTTAACTGATATTGAATGAATATTTTTTATATCTTACCGTGTAAGAATTTAATTATTAATTCATGTAGGTATGTTTTATTTACAAATGTTAATTTGCTTGCGGTTCAAAGCTCTATTGTATCACACGTGTTGTATCCAGAAATTTTTACAATTTTGTAAAATTGCCACAAAATATTAAAGAACTGAATAAGATAAGCAAAGTTATTAGTCAAATGAATTTTTTACCATAAAAACTAGGTTTTTATGACGTACGATTTTCCTAGAATTATAGGTTGCATTAACTGCACCCGTATAGCTATTTTTACGTCAACAATTAACGATTCAGATTATCCTGAACATCGATATATATATTATATTATGTGATTAGAAAAAATCATCGTTCGACAAATTTACAATTGGTTTGTTGTAATTAAATTACATAATCCTTATTCTTTTATGGCCTGCACATTACTTGAATTCAACGACATAGACAGTTTACAGTGATGCCAGACATATTATTTGCTTGTTAAAAACGTACACGTCTTAAAAAACGAATAATCATCGAACGTCGGTCAAGAATATAGATTTCAAAAACTACTCGCTTTTCAACCACTCACTTTCGAAAACGGTTCGTTTTTTTAGCGATTGTCGAGGATAGCCGCCCTGGCCGTTGGTGTTTATGCCGGTCGGCGTAGCCAGGTATGGATTGAAATAACCAAAGTAAGATCTAGTCATGTAAGTTACATAAGTAGTAGCCAACTTTTGTCACAAAGTAGGTATTTATTTACTATTTATTGTTTTAGAGCAAGAAAATCTTTGAGCATATATATGCTCGAAGAAGAAAATGGTTTCAAAACGTTAGAAAGAAGATTTGATATAGCAAGAAAAATACCTGAATTTCCATTATTGAGTTTGCACTCATCACTTTTAAATAAGGCACCATTGGCCATTCGTTTGGAAAATAAGAACAAAAATGTTAATGTTATCCATAACGATTAAAAATTAAAAAATATTTGTCATGAATAGATTTAAAATAATTAATCGATAATAGACTGTAAGTATAGTATTCTTTTTAATAAATAATTTACCGTAATTACATTGTTTAAATTTATTTACCAGAACGTGAGAGTGCAGTCGATATTTATACAACCTTAATTATCAGATTTTTAAATTTCCCGCTGCAATATTTGTTTGATATCGATGACAGCGCCACATAGTGGGTCAGATGTTAACTGCGTTAAAGCTGGTCGTTATTAAGCATTGGCTTCTTATGAGCGTTTTCTATCTTTATCTCCCTTATCTCTGCTGGAACATAAACAATTTTAAGTAAATATTTAACTTTGAGTAAGTTTGGTTCGTCTCTATATTAAAATAAAAATGTATTGTGTGTTTTATTACTTATCTGAATAAACAAATCGCATTTTAACAGTTATACCCCGGGGTCTATTCTGTAACAATTCCTTTATATTTAACGGCCTTTAAAAATATTTTCTTCTTTACTTCTGTCATTAATTAAACAATGTGAGGACTATCTTAAAGAAATCTTTTTAAATAATGACAGAAGTAAATTAACGAATACGAACATATTTTTAAAGGCCGTTAAATAAAAAGGAATTGTTACAGAATAGACCCCAAATAATGTATTTTTGTACATTTCATTAAAAATATATCGATATATTCAAAATATCGAAGTTTTTTATTCAATATATCGAATGTATCGTATATTATTTCGATATATCACATGATTCGATATATTTTTTGCCATCGCCTTCTCATGAACATTTTCTAATAGTGGATTTTATTTGTTGCACTAGGTGTAAGTTTTCTGCACTAATCGCATTTGATTTGTTCAGTGTTTGAAGACTAGAGATAAGGAGGCGAAATACGGTCCCAAAAAACGAACGCTTATTGAGATTTTTTAATTCACCGCAAGGGCGCTGGTGCTAGTACCGCTGTTCAAAATACATGGCTTCTTATGGGAATTTTACATAATTTTGTTAAAATAATAAAAATAAACTTGTTTATTGCCAAATAAAGCACAGAATATAGTGTTGTATTTATTTCTAAATAAGTCTCGCATGTTTAAATTGATTAATTATTTAATTTTATCTATATAAAATTCAATTTAGGTAGGTATGATCGAAAAAATTTGTTAAATTAGAAGCTTTAAAAAGACATTGAATTGATTTTTCCTTGTGTTTTCTTTTAGTTTTACATGTGATTTGTATCCTGTTTTACAATGTGGAACGAAGTAGATCTTGCTTTAATATTTTTTGTCGCTCATGTTACTTGTACTAAGGTACTTTTTTTTCACATTATTTTGATTCTTTTCGCCAATTTTTTAAAAAATTATTTCATTTTACATTAACTTATGTAGACAATGAACGTCAGTGACGTTCGACCTGCCAACTACAGTCAATTTAGCGAACTTTATAAAAAGAGGACAGAAATTTGAAATTCAATCATTGCCGATTCGTCTCTTTATATCTAGTCTTCATAGTTCTGAAATTTAAAATTCAATCATTGTCGATTCGTCTCTTTATATCTAGTCTTCATAGTTCAATGTACCTTCAAATATTTGACAAGTATAACAGTTCGAGTGTGACACTAGTGCAACAAATAAAATCCATTATAAGGAAATGTTAAGTCAGGTTTGCACAAGGATTATGTTGAAAGAGTATTTCTATGAATAAACAAAATACCGCGGAGATTTCATTTTATTTGTAATTTTATATTTTTTATAGAACAATAGAACAATTCTTAAGGCAGTTGATACAAAAGTAATATATAGTTAATACTTATTATTAGAAAATATTTACAAAATTCAATAAAAAATATTTCTTACACACATTGTCCCAAAAAAGTTTAGGTTTAGGAGAATTATACTTGTTAACTTTGCCATTCTGACTCCAGGAGAACGGTACTGATATTGAATATAATGATAGGTCGCTGGTTGCGGACCGAGATATCCCAGCTTGCAATCGAAAGTACTTTTAAATTTCAATGTAAAACAATTTTTATCTTTTTTCTTGCCTATTATTTCAACCTTCATTTTTCCGTTATACACACCTTCTGAAGTTTGAATTAAAAAAATCTGATGTGTCCAACACAAATAATATTAATAATATTCTATTATTACTAAGATACCTACTTAAATAATACAAATTTATAAAATATATGCATAATATAAAGAATTTTGAAAGTATGTATCAAATTAATTATTTATATTAATTGCAAACCCCGTAAAAATGATGCGACACTGGTAATAGTGTCTACACATTGCTACTCGCGTATCGGGAACAATACTAATGATTTGTAATTGCTGTGGTGGGAGGTGTTTGTGTGAATGCGTCTTGTTTGTTTTCATTAACTAGCATCACTAGCATTAGTGTTTTATAAACCTTAGAAGCAAATTTCTCATACATGAACATATAATAATAATGCCGTGACAACAAGAAGACGAAGCAACGACTTCTCGTACCAACACCACATTGGGATTGTTACATTTATTCATGTGGCATGTGTTACTAATGCAATACGTTCTCCGACTTGTTGTAATATTACAAAATATATTTGTCTTCAAATTTCACACAAAAACGGATACAACCATTTCGCTTAGTTCATCTAGAGGATAACACAATCGTGAACTCAAAATTTAAAATTCAAATTCAGGATTCTACGATAAACATACAACTGACATTTATAGTTACAAACTGTCCGCGTCTGTCTACAACCGACGTGTACTAGGGCTGTTACGGAATAGCTTTTTGACGTATCTAGTACGACCTGTGCCTGTTCCAAGTAGATACCTATTCCAAATACCTATTCCCGTTACAAGCTATTCCAAAATTTTATGACTGAATATTGTTGGCGCTTGGCGCATATTCAGTAGGAAGTAGGTGAATCTCTGAATCTAATGAATCTCATAAGCATAATATATAATATCGATCGATATTGTATTAAACTTAAAGGGTGCTGTTGTTTATTTACATAATATTAATTAAATTATTGTTCATTATGAATAGACGTTCGAGTGTAGTGTGGAATTTTTT